TCTGTGTGCATTATCTTTTCTAATCGAATTCAATATGCCAGCACTTACGTATGTTAAGCAACAAATGCTGTAATTGTGCTGCTGGTAAGCAACATAACTAGAACTTTAATTTTTCATTGCCTTTTTGGCGCACGCACATATGCACATACGTGTTCTCGTCGAGTGAATGCCAAACTATCGATATGCATCGATATATCGCGGAAAGTGTCTACGAACTGCTATCGATAAGACTTCTACTATTGGTCTCTAAAAGCATTTAGCTCCATCAACAGTTGTAAAACCGCCAAAATGTTGATTTAAATTTACACTTACCGTTACATGCTCATATATTCTAACAGTACATAACTTTCGGTTGACTATATTATATAACCAAATCATTAACAGTATATCAAGTAACGGAAGTGCCCGAATACAAAATACTTTGTACTCAGCTCAAGATACCATGACGCATTCGATCTTAATGACACGTTGTTGTTGTTCTTGAGAAGAACGCGGTCATAAAAACGAAGACACAAAAATTTTAATAGATATTTCATCGGGTCTACCATACCTTTTCATACATTTGCAAACAACCAATATGCCTATTTCCGTGGGAAATTATACGGAATATAAAATATTCTTCTGTTGTCCATTATGATGTTCATTATTTTAATCACGCTTCTAATCTCAGCACCAGCTTTTATAGGGAACAGCACGGTGAGCTCTCCTCTTTAATTATTGAATATTAGCTATTAAATGTGTTAAAGTTCGCGAAGAGTCGAGGGAATAGGAGAATACTTGTGGTAAATATTATTTTAAAATAGTAAAACCTGTGCTGGAGCCACGAAGACAGACAGAATGCAGACACTCAAGCCAAGCTGGAAGACTTTGGGAAGCAGCGAGAAGACATTAAGAAAAATGCTGCTGTACTCGAACAAAAGTTTTAAGTTCGAGTTAGAACATTGCATTTAAATTTGGTATATATATCAAAAATTCGGTATGAATGATGAAAACTGCACATCGCCTCGATATTTTATATGTGAGCCATTCAATTTTGATTGAAACTTAAATGTTAATTTAATGTTAAATATTTGTTGAACTCGATTTTATTTTTCGTTGCTTGTATCTAATTTCAGGAAATGTTTAAATGGAATAAAATTTAAAAGCGTATTATAGTCTTCTGATATAGTTCATACTTTGTATGGCGCTTTATATATTATTTAAGTACAAGCATAATTTTTTAATATTTTGCTGATAACCTCGCCTAAAATTTCTGAAGAATGCAAACAAATTTTTTAAGATTATAAATACATACTATATATAAAATACTGAGCACTGTGTGTATATGATGCAGCCTATTTTACACGCATTTTAGTTGTATGTTGACTTCGTTCGTAAACGGTGAAAATTGAGAGCTACAATAAATGTACGTAATTTTAATCGCGCTTCTCATCTCGGAGGCGGCTCTTATAGGGAGCAGTTCGGTAGGGTTTCCTCCTTATTCATTCAATATCAGTTATTTAATGTGTCTTTGTTGTAGTCCTGTGAAGAGCAGAAGGAATTGGAAAATACTTGTGGCAAATATTGTTTCAAAATAGTGAAACCTGTGCTGGAGCACTCGGCCATATTGCAGAAACAGGTCACTAGCCACGACGACCGACAGAATGCAGACACTCAAGCCAAGCTGGAAGACTTTGGGAAGCAGCTGACACTTTTAAATGAAAAGGTTTCTGATGTCCAACCTAAATTTACAAAGATTGAGGACCAATTGGTAGGCCTGCAGTCGAAGTACGATGACACCCAATCTCAGTACAGCAATATTATGAGTCAGCTCTTGGTCCTACAAGAGAAGGTTGCTCTGCAAGAACAAAAGTTGCAGGACATCGAAAAGAAACGAAAAGATCATCCCAGCAATTTTACTAAAATAGGATCGAAATATTATTATGTTGAAGATCGACACAAGATGAGTTGGTTCGCTGCTGCATACGAATGCCAACAACGTGGTGGTCACCTGGCTAGCATCCAAAATGAAACGGAGTACGAGGCACTAACAGCCACATTAAACCGAGATCATAGTTATTGGATTGACATCAATGATCTTAATCAAGAAGGAGTATATATATCACTTACCACCGGCCGCAAGCCTCCTTATTTGAACTGGTTTCGTTGGCAACCAGACAATAGAGACAAAGAAGAGCATTGCGTTCATTTATGGAGCGCGGATAAAAGTCTGAAGATGAATGATGAACTTTGTACATTTGAAATATATTTTATATGTGAGTCATTTGCATTAAATAGTAATCTGAACAATTGATAATAAAAAAAATTTAATAATTGTGCAACATATGTAAATTTGATGTTAAATTTAAAATATATTTGTTCTCAATATTTGAACCGGTTTTAATAAAAACAAGTAAGAGGTTCTAGTCGGGAGCTCCCGACTAGGGGATACCCTGAACCCTCTCCTTCCAACAGGCGATAGGTATAAAATGAAAGATACTTGATATATATTTACTATTCTAGATGCTAAATGTCAAGTTTGGTGGCTCTAGCTCATATTATTTACCGAAATTGCCCAAAAAAACCGAATTTCGATATCGATTTTTATTGTTTACTTGGAAACGGGACAAGTTATCGAATATCGGAAACAAACTCGATCTGCGCGGGCACTAGGAGGACCTACAGCTAAAATTTTAAGTCTCTAGCTCTTATAGGTTCTGAGATCCTTGCGTTCATACAGACGGACCTGGCTAGATCGACTCGGCAGTTGATGCTGATCAAGAATATATATACTTTATGGGGTCGGAGATGCTTCCTTCTGCCTGTTACATACATTTGCACAAATACATTATACCTTCTTTACCCATTTTTAATGGGTTCAGGGTATAAAAAGGTGCTTGCTCGTCAGTGGTCAGTGACATATATTCGCCCTCCTTACTTAAATCATTAATATCAAGCCAGTATTGGCGATTCTTGTTTGGTGTTGGAATAAGAGGGTTCAGGGTATCTCCTAGTCGGAAACTCTCGACTAAAACCTCTTACTTGTTTATATTGGCATCCCAGTTTTAATCCTGACAATGTGTTCGATTTAGAACATTGCATTTATATGGTATATACATATATGATAAATTCGGTATGAATGAAGAAATATGCTCAGGGCCTCGATATTTTGTATGTGAGCCATTCAATATTTTCGAAATTCAAATATTCATTTAAAGTTAAATATTTGTTGAACTTGATATGATTTTTCTTTGTTTGTATTTAATTTTAGAAAATGTAATAAAATTAAAAAGTCTATTGAAGTCTTCTTATGTATTTCATACTTTATTGGGTGCTTTATATATTATTTGAGTACAAGCAGAATTTTTTTGAGCTTGACGACATTTGATGAAAATATTTTGCTGTTAACCTCGTTTACAATTTCTGAAGAATGCAACAAAATTTTCGAAGATTAGAAAAACAGTATATATAAAATATTGTGCACCGTGCATATATAATTCAGCTTATTTTACATTCATTTCAGTTTTCTGTTGACTTCGTTAGTAAAAGGTGAAAATTGAGAGAAAAAAAATGTACTTTACTCTAATCGCGCTTCTAATCTCTGAGGCGGCTCTTATAGGGACCAGTTCGGTAGGTTTTCCTCTTTAATCATTCAATATCAGTTATTTAATGTGTCTTTTTTAAACTCTTTGAGGAGTCGAGCGAATTGGAAAATACTTGTGGCAAATATTGTTTCAAAATAGTGAAACCTGTGCTGGAGCACTCGGCCATATTGCAGAAACAGGTCACTAGCCACGACGACAGACAGAATGCAGACACTCAAGCCAGGCTGGAAGACTTTGGGAAGCAGCTGACACTTTTAAATGAAAAGGTTTCTGATGTCCAACCTAAATTTACAAAGATTGAGGACCAATTGGTAGGCCTGCAGTCGAAGTACGATGACACCCAATCTCAGTACAGCAATATTATGAATATTATGAAAAGAAACGAAAAGATCATCCCAGCAATTTTACTAAAATAGGGTCGAAATACTATTATATTGAAGAGGAAAACACGATGAATTGGTTCGCTGCTGCATACGAATGCCAACAACGTGGTGGTCACCTGGCTAGCATCCAAAATGAAACAGAGTACGAGGCACTAACAGCCACATTAAACCGCAAACTTCATTATTGGACTGACGTCAATGATTTCAGTCAAGAAGGAGTATATATATCACATACCACCGGTCGCAAGGCTCCTTATTTGAACTGGTATATTAACCAACCCGATAATTCAGGCAATAAAGAGCATTGCGTTCATTTATCGAGTGTGTTCATTTATTGATGAATAGCCTTTAAACAGTAATCTGATCAATTGATAATAAAAAATAAAAATTAAAAAGTGGGCAAAGTATGTGAATTGGATGTTAAATTTAAAATATATTTGTTGCTAATATTTAAAAAGGTATTAATAAAAAACGAGAAAGATGGTCTATCATCGGCCGAAGATTTAATACCCTGGCAGATCTAACCTCTTTATAATACTCATAATGCTTTGCCCGTATCTAAGAGCACAGGGAAAATACTTAATATTTAGCGAAGAGTTTTTCATACAAGAACCTACTTTTCGACCGATCGTTCCTATGGTAGCTATATGATATAGCAGTCCGATCCAGCCGGTTCCGACAAATGTTTCGCATGCAACAGAAAGAGGGACTTCTGCAAAGTTTCATGATGATAGCTTTAAAATTGAGCGACTTAGTTCGCCCAAAAACAGGCAGACGGACAGACGAGCATGTCTATATCGACTCGGCTGTTGATACTGATCAAGAATATATACACTTTATAGGATCGGGGATGTCTTCTGCTATGCGTTACACATTTCGAGGCAAAATTATAATACTCTCAAGCAAGCAATATACATACCCGCAAATACAGCTTGTATATACTAAATGCACTAAAAAATGACAAAAAACATAACAGTGCCATTTTGAGTAAAACAGAGCCTGATAGTTAACATTACTTGGTTAAAAACAACTCCAGACGATTGAGGACCATTGACTGAGTAATACTGCTGAACTGACGTCGATAAAAATTTATTGTATATGATAAGACAAACGGTGTAAATAATTGATTTACATACATAAGTGCAGTTTACCAACGCGTGTCTCCTGAATCGCGGCCTTGTTATCTCAGCGGCAATTGCCGCTTCGTGTGTGTGTGTGTGTGTTTTATGCGTGCCTGCTAATAAACTCACAAACACTTTACAGCCGCCGCCCGCCTTGCCAGCTGTAAAACATAGTAAGCTTTTTGTGTAGAACACAAATTACTAAAGTAACATTTCTAATCATAACTCATAAGCCGCAGTTCTGATTTGTGAAACCAGAATTTTGTAATATTCAGGGTGCAGTGACAAGTTGAGTAGCAACAACGACTGCTGCAAGGGTAGAAGGAGGCATCAACATCCTCGAGGTCGCAAGCGACACCTACAGGTGCGGAACAGAAAACCTAAAGATGTCCACCGCCTTTTTAACGCTCATCGCCGTCATCGTGTGCATTCTATTCCGCATCCTCAATGTACACAGCCAGCCACTGAAGCCCAGCGTTTGGTGTCTCGATGAGCAGTTTCTGGATTGTTTGTACAAAATAGCGCCGGTGCTGCGCGAGCCGTAAGTAGACCAATAGAAAATACGATACAAGCAGATGTACATAAAAGTTACCAATATCGATATGTGGGCCCAATGCAATTTATTTTTGATTTTATTTTCCCTCCCACACACTGCATATGTATACTTATGTGTGCAGCATATATATGTGTGTGTTTGTGTGCGTGTGTGAGTGCAGCGATCTCACGCCACTGCCCAGCTGTTAATTGTGTGTGGCATCTACATTACAGCCACGCCAAAATGTTAGCTAACAGAAAACATGCGCATAATTATTTTACAGTAGCCACTTTCAAATTTAATTTGAATTGACTGGAATTGTGAAAATCTTTTCCTTAGTAGAAAGAATTTTTTCTAAATACAAACAATTTTAAATATAAAAAATGTATGCTAGTTGGTATAATTCGGATTTCTTTAAATACACTCATAAATACATAAATATACTCATAAATATATTCAAAAATATATAAATATGTTCAAATTATAAACGAATTTTAGCTTTATTTGTAGTACTTATGATATGAATCCTTTTTAATATGACATCACTAATTTATAAAATCAGCACATTAATTCGGCATAGATTTGCCTACTTCGAAAACTGAGAAAATGTTGTTCGTAGCCTACTAGAAAGTACTCGTATTCCAATAAGTTTAGAAACTCTTGCAGTTAATTGCATTATCATGAAAGCTAAATTGAACAAAACAGCTTGTCTGAACTTTCGTCTAACTAGGTAGAACCTGACCCTGGACCCTCGTAAATTTTTTTGTTTGTCTTCAATTATGTAATTTATTCACCGGTTTCATTCATAACTGATGTGCATCTTGTAATTACGTTTTATTTCAAATTGCTGCATTTTAGCTCGCTAATTTGTTTACAAGCCAAACCCAATTGTGCATTATTCACTGTGAATACACTTACACGCCGCCGCGTCACATGCGCAAAGTTCAAGTAATCGGCGGCAGCTGCCGCGGCACATGAATCATTAACCGCAATTAGTGGCCTCTATTCACATAGATCTTTGTTATTGTTGTTGGCTAGTAATATTGATTATCAAAATTTAATCATTTTTCAAATTGTCGCTCGATTTATAGCCAAACTAACTGTCTAATCAGTTGGCTCGTATTTGATTCAATTGCAATTTTCCGTACCATGAACCGTGAAATGGTCATGGGCATATACACTATTTACAATTTTCTTATCAATTGGGAATTTTTGCCTATAGTTTATAATAAAGTTAATTCACAATCGTAGGTCTTTCAATCGCATGTTGATTTATAAGCTGGAAGCGTAGTCGCATGATAAGCATAATCATGCATACGAATATATGTATGTATGAATGTTTATAAATTTAGCTAACTACGTACACATGCTTGCCGCTTTATTCACATGCATAAGTATTAGATTACAATATATTACAATAACAGCGTATTTCTAGCAATTAGATCAATCTATCTGATAGTTCAGTGTAGGGGGCGTAAGTTTGCTGTAATTCAAATTGTCTGGCAAATCCAATATAAATCTATTTCTGAAATGTGTATTAATATCACTAAAGCTATTTGTGGAATAACTAACTATTATATCAATAGTGTATAAAAAAAAAAATTAAGCTCTAATAACTAATCAGCACAGATAATTTAAGCCGCCATATTATAAAGACTGCCTTTGTAAATATACAGTATACTAACATTTTCTGGTGACAGTAGAGACGCGCCTGGAAATTTTTCACCCATTTTTATTACAAAATCCATATAAGTACATAAGTATGTATGTATGTATGCATGTGTGATTTATTAACACATACATACATCTGTATTTGCATACATTCGTTCTCATGTACATATTTATTTTGCCTTTCGGTTCTCTGCACAAGGTTTGGCAATTCAACAATTTTTAGCAAGCTTCGTATTCAGGTTTATTTGCTGTCTGCGCTCGGTCAAACGGTGATAAGGGAACGGTGCAAAGTGCAAATCATAATTACGCAGTTCTCTTAAGTCGGAGCGAGCAACGCCTAGCAACGTTTTGGCCTGGTAGCTTCCATCAGACTTTCTAGTTATCGCGTGTGAGAGAATTCGTTCGAGAATTAAAGGAATACACACACACGCAGTCATATGTCTGTATATGTATGTATATAAATGTGAGGGAAATAAAACAGAAATGACTTAGAAACAAAAAACACCACTAGATACTACCCTGTACCTAGGTCAAGAGACCGGAAACACCCACTTATTCTTTTATATATATGTAGATGCATATGAACTTTTGGAAAATGTATGCATTTAAGTATTCTTTTATTTATTTGCGACGAGAAAAGGTCAAGTTTTTAACATGAACAATATTAATAGAAATCTTTTTGATATCTGAAGTCTGTAAGATCTACGAGTGCATGATTGTAGGGTATACATTAATAAAACCGGCAAACGTTTGCCACACTCTCTTCACCTATGTATGTATGTATACAAGTACCGCTTGTTGCCGGTTGAGGTTTTGGCTACCTGTTTGTGATTTGTTTTTGGCGCATTGCCCAGGCGCTTTTGTTTGACAACAAAGATTACGTAAGCGATTTAACAACTCATCATCATCGGCAGCAGCAGCAGCAGCTATTGCAATCGCCCCCTTTCATTCTCTGTATCTCTCTCCCTCTCTCTCTCTCTCCCATACTTTCTCTTGCATTCACACAACTGCGTCCACATAAGCCTAAGTTACTTATTTGTTTTTGTTTTGGCGCTCTTTCGTGTGTTTTTATTACTTGACAAGGGGTGCAAACATTTTGGATGAGTCATATGCATTCATGTATGTATGTATATGCATTCATGTATGCATGTATGCATATGCATGCATGCATCTAAATACATAGACCTAACTGTGTATACATACATATAATTTTGTTGTTTACGTGTGTTGGGTTGTGTTATCACTTAAATTAAATTTGCACGAAAATGTTAAATTTTTGTTGACAGCCAGGCTGGGAATTTTCACAGCTGTTTTTATAGCTCAACAATCCACTCCCACTGAAACACTTTAATATTTAATGGTCATTGATCTACTAATTATACTACATGCATCGTTAATATTATATTTGTAGATTAACAATTCGTATAGCTATAGTAAATTACCCTCAAATTTGTGAATATTCTCTTGAATAATTGTCCCCAATCCTATACGCTACAATTTTGATTGAAAGTAATTGAAAAGGGGGAAACGTTTTGACCGTCCCCGTCTGTACGACAAAGTATTACAGTCATAGTATGGCTCACGTTTTTCCACGCCTGACAGCAATGGCGCTGATTTTGTTGCTGCTCAATTGACTTCAATTGATACTCAGCGTTGTTTTGTCTGCCAAAATGTTGACAATGGTGTTTCTGCAACAACCGCATCCTACAATTGAAGCAACTGTCTAAAAATATGGATAATTCAATTGTATTAAATATGTTGTACTTATTTGCATTTTTATTTTTGGCATGCCCGCAGTCAGGCCTTGGTTCCGTCAAGGTCATCAGTTGTGCAAAGTGTAAAAGAAAAAACCAAAAAAGTTTAGTTGCATCGGCCGGGAATCGAACCCGGGCCGCCCGCGTGGCAGGCGAGCATTCTACCACTGAACCACCGATGCTTGTGATAGGTGTGAAGCAACCAACGAACTTCATGTGCTCACGAACAGCTGTTAGTGTATTGCCACTGTTAACATTATTACTGCTGTTAAGCTGCAACAGTTCGTTGCTGTTAAAATTGCCTACTGTTATAAATTATGCATAGCTTACAAACAGCTGACTGGCTCACAGGCTATAATTAATAACACGCAATGCTTGTATTTCTTCATTTTCTTTTGTCAATACTATATTCAATTCACTTTTTCAGCTATGTCCCACCACGCCTTTGGGGTTTCAGCGGTCATGTTCAGACCGTATTGCATAGCATTGTTGGCCGTGTACGTTGCCCCTGGCCGCTGGGTGAGCGCGTCTATCTGTCGCTGCCCGATGGCTCTACATTAACATACGATCTCTATCAGCCGCTGAAGGAGCAGGAGGGTAAGTCGTTGACCCCAGTTGATGTAGGCAATTCTTTCTATATCTCTCTATTTTTTACACCATCTTTAGATGACATCACTGTGGCTATTTGCCCGGGCATTGCGAATAGTTCGGAATCGGTTTATATACGCACCTTTGTGCACTTGGCCCAGTGCAACGGATTTCGCTGTGCCGTTATGAATCATATTGGCGCCCTGCGTACCGTACAAGTAACCTCGACACGCATATTCACCTATGGCCACACGGAGGACTTTGCCGCCATGGTGGAGCATTTACATCAAAAGTATAACCAGAATCGCATAGTCGCCGTTGGCTTTAGCTTGGGTGGGAATCTCGTGACCAAGTACATGGGCGAAATGCAAAAAACTAAACCGAATAGTGTCATTGGCGGCATCTCCATATGCCAGGGCTACAACGCCGTCGAGTAAGCAATTTGTGTTTCCACCTTAATTTATAACTTCTTTAACTTTTGACATTTGGTTATTTTAGGGGCACCAAATGGCTGCTGAACTGGCAGAACTTCCGTCGCTTCTATTTGTATATCATGACCGAGAACGTGAAGAGCATCATTTTGCGTCATCGTCATGTGCTGCTCTCTGATGAGGTGAAGGCACGTCATAATCTCAATGAGCGTGAGATTATAGCGGCTGCAACACTGCCGGAACTAGACGAGGCTTATACGCGACGTGTCTATAACTTTGCGTCGACCCAAGAGCTTTACAAGTGGAGCTCATCTCTATTCTATTTTGACACTATCGAAAAACCGATGATATTTATTAATGCCAAGGATGATCCACTGGTGCCTGTCGAGTTGCTGCATCCAATTAAGGAGTATGCGAGTAAGTGGCAGACACTAGCATAAACTATTGATTAAATTACAAATATGTTTTAAATTAACATAATTTGTTTTGGGCAACCAGAAATTAACATTGCATCTTAACATAACATTACTCATTATCGTAACATCAAGTTTTCTGTTATCATAACATTACGTGATACGAAAAAATTACCCTCTGTTACGATAACATACGCGCTTCAACAGTTGCATAAGTTGGCATATTGCGGTGGTTTATTCATAAGCAGCCGTGGCCGAGCGGTTAAGGCGTCTGACTAGAAATCAGATTCCCTCTGGGAGCGTAGGTTCGAATCCTACCGGCTGCGGAACGAAAGTGATTCTTTTTTTTTTTTTCTTGTATTAGATATTATTTTGCTTATATAAATATTTTTAATAATTTATTTTTGTAATATGCATATTAAATCATTTAAAATTATTATATTTTATTACAGGCACTCGTCAAAAATCAGCATATGTTGAAGTGGCGCATGGCGGTCATTTAGGATTCTATGAAGGCGGCTTCCTATATCCCAATCCGGTCACTTGGCTAGATCGCACGCTAGTTGCCATGGTTGGCTCTTTGGTCCTGATGCATGCAGGCGGAAGCAAAGTGGCGACATAAAGAGTCGGATAACCCCTATACTCTGTCAAAATTTTTGATGCCGCTGAACTAAAAAATGCATTTTGTTTTTGCCAAAATTCCATGTTGCTGTCAAATGAGTCTTATACAAAGTAAAACACAATACATATAAAACCACTATCAATTTGGTGTAAACGAAGGACATTTATATGATGTAAACTTTTAAAAGTGCATTTAAAACAGAGCATTGAATTGTATTGTATTGCGTTTAACTGTTTGATTTTGGATACATTTTTTCTGGCAAATTTCAACTGATATATGAAAAGCGAAACGTTTTAGTTAAAACCGTTAATTTATATTATAGTTAGTAACGCACATACCATGTACTTATTTGTAAGAAATGCTAATTTAAAAGCTTTAAATGTAACTCATATACGATGCATAAAAAACTAAACATTTGAGTGTTTATATGAGCAGTTGAAAAGTAAATCAAATAAATTTAATGTCCCTGGCCGCAACCTATAAGCAAATTGCCTTATTGTAGATTTTTATATGTGTATATGATTTACAAGTCGCTTTTTTTATAAAAATATATATATATAAATGTACGTATAATATTTACGATAAAGCATTTTCAAATATCAAATAGAGAAACAAAAATTGTCAAATTTTTGTACGTGTAACTTTTCCTCGATGTGTTTTTATTAAATATCAATGGAATGTTGTATACCAAAATTAACAAAGATCTGTATATTTATATGCCAAGCAGTCTGTGTAGTTTGTATCAATGTGCTTAATTGTCCACAATAAAACACAAATATATGTGTGTGTAATACATGTACGATTTGTGTGTACGTATATTAAATAAACAAATTTATGTGTGTAGCAAATATACGTGTTTATATGTATATCAAATAAACAAACGTTAACTACAAAGACTTTATTAATGCATTTCGAACCTATTTAATTAATATATAACTATTATGTGTTCGTTTTTATGTACTCCGGCTAGATTATTGTCATGGGATTATTAATGAAAAATTTGTAATGTTTAATCTGTGATTATCATTAGATTGTTTTCACACTTAAAGCAAACGATGAAAATTACGCGAAATGTTTGCAGTTTGTTAAAAGGCTTGTGTACTTTTTTGATAGATGTTTGTAAAACTTGATATTGTTTTCTAGTCTTAGCTTACGTTATGAATTATAAATTAGGTAACTATAGACAGACTTTTTGAACTTGTTAAGTTCTTCAGGCATACTTTAAGTCTGCAAAATTAATTGGACTGCAATTCTGATTTCAGATAGATTGAGGCAGACTACATTATTTAGAATGGACTTAAAATTTTGATTTATAGGATCTTTTTTTAAAAGTTCACTTTAAAAAAAAAAAATTTATCAGAAAGATTTACAATTGAAATGAAGAGTTTTCTTCTGCTTAGTTAATAGAGAAAAACTGGTATGCATAAAGTATAATTATATTTTAAACTAATTGGATATTCATATTATACATATACTCATATTTATATTAAGAAATTTTTTTCTCAGAAAGAAGTTGGCAACGCTTGTATGAAAATCAAAGTGTAGGCATAGAAACTTTTGTGTTTTGTCTGCGCATCATGAAGCAGAATGAATGAATTTGCCATTTTTCCTGTCTATGATATAGTTGTTGTTTGGAGCCTATAAAACTGGCACATAGAGTGTTTTCTAAGTTGATTGTCCACTTGATTAAAAGCGGAACTCGTGCGTACACCACAAGCAAACAGACACATGCCCGGAAAATTGTTGTGAAAAATACACGCATGGAAAATGGGCAGACAATCTCAGTGATGCGTGTCAAAATGTTTGACATTTATTCATCCATGGCTGCTGGTCCGGCACGTGTGTGTATATCATCATGTTATTCAATATATTCTCGAGGACTCTCCACTCGTTTATTTACTTTTGGCACGCACGATAGCGCCCAATGAATGTAGATGGGTTCCATGCCGATTTATATGTAAACAACAAATTCGACTACTCGTAAAATTTATGAAGCTGCAAGGAATTGAATTTAAGTTTTAAACTTCGCAATGTGTCGGGAAACTTAGCTGTCAGAATGCTCACTTAAATTTGCGCTGTTCATTTTGGGAATTTAATTTGTATATTCATTTTAAGAGATTCAAAGGCCTTTTCAACAAGGGTTTTTATCATTCCTGATATTTTTTTGGCGTAAAGCAGAAGGAATTACTTCATTTTCGTTTATACGCAACGAATTTAATTAATATTTTATTACTAGAGAGGATTACCTGGGCAGTGATTTTTTCATTTTTATATAGTGTATAATTATATTTATTTTATATAGATATTTGAGATTGAGTTTGAAGACGATCGGTTGAAAATTCAAACTTGCAATTAGAGTTTTCCGCCGACTAGTATTGTGGTGGTATATTCATAAATTCTTTGAAACAAGTTTACAATATTTAACAACAAGCTGGAGAAATTTTAAAAAATTGTGTGGCTCAGCTCTATTTGAATGGTCTCCATCGAATAAATACCTGAAAATCTTAGTTGGTCACAATTCCTCTTATTTTCGGCCCTGTCTGCCTAGCTAGCGGTCAGATACTGGCTAGACGGCCAAGTGTATCGTTAAATTTAATAAAAAAATCTAATAAACTTGCAACAAAATGGCAAAGACTCCGCTTGTGTGTTGCATGTTGAGCAATTAAATATGGCAGACGTGTCCGAGTCACAACAGAAGCCCTTTTAAAATGTTGCAATACAATTTTTGCAGCAATTGCCACAAAATGTGCCACAGACTGTGCCACAGACTATGCCACAGATTTTGCCACTGGCTGTCTGCGAATTGTCGCCTGTCAGCGCTTCCTTTTCCTCGTCTGTGTTTGTTTAAGCATTTTAGCTGTTATTCTCTGTTGCCAAAAACGTATGTTGTTTACAATTTATTTCGTTTTCAGCAAGTGGAATAGAAATGATTAAGATAACATAATTCTTAGATTGTTATATTCAAATTAATCAATGAAATTTGCTTATCAAACTTTAAATTTGTATGAATCAAATTATTTAAAATTAAATATGAAATTTACATCAACCACGAACGGGACTCTTTTATCGGAGTTTGTTCCCTTTTGCGAAAGTTTCTCACAACTCTTTTCACAATTTCCGTTTCCGCCTTTCATTCTCGCAGTTTACCAAATGTCCACATCAATGTAAATTTATTCGATTGAATGGCGGGGCCATTCCAAATATTCCATTTCCAATTCCAAATACGATTGCAAAACTTGACTTAAGACGTGGAGTTCAGGAGTATACGGGTAGATTTCAATTTTCCACGGGCGGGTACTGGGTGAAAATGTTAAATCTAAAATGTTAAGCATAAAACTTGCCACGGGCGCGGCCAGGTAGTACCGGCTATATGTATATATGTTTTAAGTATATTTGTACGTCAGTATTTATTTACGCATGTATGTTTGTATGTTTGTGTGTGTGCATGCGTATGTTTGCATGTATGTATGTAGTGTGTTTGTAAGGATGTAGGTATCTAGGTATGTAGGTATGTAGGTATGTATGTATGTGTGTGTGTGTGTGTGTGTATGTGTGTATGTATGTATGTATGTATGTATGTATGTATGTATATATGTATGTATGTACATATGTATGTATGTAGGTATGTATACATGTATGTGTGTATGTATGTAAACATATGTATGTAGGTATGTATATATGTATGTATGTAGGTATGTATATATGTATGTATGTATGTATGTATGGACGTATGTATGTATGTATGTATGTATGCTGGTATGTATGTATGTATGTATGTATGTATCGTGCAATAATGTATTGTGTAAATAAGAGTTTATATATGTTTGCATGTATATATGCATGTGTGTATGCATGTATGTATAATATATTATATATGCATTTAGATAAGTAAATGAATGTAAACATAAATTTTGAATATTTATATGCAAGATCAAGTTTATCTCTAGCTGAGTTGCAAATTCAAAAAAACGTATTTTTAACAAAAACCCTTCTACTCGATTCTCATGAATTCAAATAAGTCTCATAGATTTCACTGCAAGTGGAGGAGGCGGCTTCAACTATGGAGGAGGCGGCTTGAGCAAAGGAGAAGACGGCTTGAACAGTGAAGGAGGCGGATTCAACTATGAAGAAGGCAATGGCTGTGACTTTAGCGTAGGAGTCGGCATCAAATTTAACATAATGGTACGTACTATAAACATGACTATATCTTATTATATTTAAAATAAATTAATAACTATAACAATCGTATGCATGCATGTTGATTTGAATGTATTTCACATTCCTGTGTGTATCTATTTAAATATGTGTTAATATTTAGCTGAGCTGTAAATAAATAAAAAATGTGTAAGTATTGCTCGATTGCGCGATTCTCACTAATTCAATAAGGTTTAGCAAGCAATCTGTGTTTTTGAGCTAATAAAAATTATTTCCCATTTTCTTTCAGTGGCGTGCTTATATAAAAGTTCCACCTACTGATAGATGACGATCGTGCGAGTAAATTTACAGGTGAGTACGTATTTACAAATAAATATTTGTATATTAATATTTTACATATTATATAAAGTTAATATCATTAATAGCCGTGAGTCTTAAAGCCTAAGATGTGGGGTTAAATTCTAGATAAAGTATAAATAGAATAGCGCACTCCTAAGGCTTAAATGAATATATAAATAGACCACCCAGCTATAGACTTTCTAGCCGAAAGAAACGTTAATATATTAGTCATTTTACTGCCCCAATTTTTAAGTTCCTTATCTTTAAGAACATACAGGAACTCTATTCATAACCTAAGGTCATCTTCAGCATACATAAGTTGGAAAAATAATAAACATGCCCTTTGAACACGCTGCAGGACATACCAAAGAAAACAGAATCCTATCAGAAGGACAACAAAACTAAAATTTTTTTTTAAAAAAACAACAAACTCCAGCCAAGTGCACCACGTGCCTTGTGCTATGTTTTGTGCTGCTAGTGAGAAAAGTAGTTTAATCCTTCTTGAAGCTGTCAGCTCCATCTGCAGGTTGATATATTTTTCACGGAATGTGCACATGACAAAATACAGTGCAAAAGGATGCCACACAGGAAACAGCTACGATGCACCTCAGACTGCGGAGTGCGCAAAAAAAAAGAAGAAAATGGGGCAAGGCCTACATATATCCAACTCTTTATGGACCCGGAAAGCGCAGTTTACTTTGAAGTCTTCCACCTGAGGCGACCAACAATAAAACCC